GACCATTTCTACCTGGCACTGCTTCCCACGGTCCTGTGTGCGCTGTGCGTTTCTCATTGGCCGTGGCTGCTATGTGTCGCATCTGTGTGTCATGCTACATTAGTCATGATTTTATCATACTGAGCCTGCTCCAGCCTCCACACACATGAGACAAGATCTCCATGTTCCATGTAATATAGAACGAGTGACATCAGATGAATGTAAATGGGACCCCAGTCCATTTTCAGCTGTAATAGCCTTCTCATCAAATGCACCTGCCGTTACTTTAAGTTCCAATATCAGAGAAGGAGGCTGGAGTTCAATCAGAAAACCTTTGTAGGTAATTTTTTACTGATTTAAACTGTCAGAATATTTCATAAGAACCACTGTATGCAATGAATACAAGTGGAGACACAAGGCCCCATATCCCAGATTTTTCTTGCATTCTACTGTTTCCCCTGAGATTCACTTTTGACTCTTGCATAGTTTTATGATCTCAAAACAGTCATATTCATTTTAACACGATCATTTTCTGACCTCTAATTATCCCTTAGAATTAAACTGGCTTTTCCAGTTTTTCTAACTGTGTCTACAGTATGAATAGCTCTGTTGGTTGATAAATGTGCTAGTTTTGCAACTTCACAAAAACAATGAATTCAAAAGGATTTGTTTTTGCAGCTTAGTTTCCATATATGGACTGTGTAGTCTGGATAGTGAATGGTACATTTCTAAAACTTTTTTTAAAAACTTGAGCTTTTATTAAAAAAAAATGCAAATTGTTGGATTTAATACAATTTAATATTGCTTGCATCTGTCAAGTGCTGTATGTGCTTCACTGCAAGGCTGTTATTTGACTGAAAACAACAGCATGTGCCATAAATAGTCCTGTTATATGCAAGTGTCTCTATTCAAGACAAAAAAGTTGGTTTCTCAAATCAGATTAAGCCTAAGCCTAGACTAAATAGGATTTTTAATGGTGAAACACCATTGGCATTTCAGTTTCATCCAAGACTAGGCTTAATCCATGTCTGATGAACAGTCCAAATGTATTACTCTTAAAAGAACAATTACAGACATTATTTAAAAAGTTCATCTTGGACAGTTAAATTACTTTTTCACTTATTAAGTTCAATGGGTTGAGGTTCCCTATAGTGCCATTAGCCTTAATAAAAGCTGACAATATCACTGTGTCCATTTGCCATCACACTGAGGGGGACTTAAGCACAGAGGAAGTACAAATTGAGCTGTGGCCTTCATAGCCCTTGCTGATCTTTCTTTGTGCCTCTCTTGGGATAAATCCAATAAATACTCTAATGTTTTTCAGCCTAATTTCTATCTGCTCCATCTTTATCATATGGTAAATGACCATGGACAATACTTCCAGCATGTTTCCAAGTACTTAGAACAGAAACCCAGTGACTTAAAGCACACTTACAGTAGAAGCCAGTGGGCAGCTGTATTAGCATGTTCACTGGCTTGAGTCTGAAGTCAACAGGTTTCCTGTTCCTTTCTAACAGAAAAATAGGTCGATATTATTGTCAGTGCTAATCGACCATACAATACAGATGAGGCAGATAAAGATTAAAGGGGAATTTCAAGGCAAAAGCCTAAAACTATAGCAAAACATGTCTCAGGCATCATACAATATATTTAATCAATCTGTGTAATACCTTTCCTGTGAGGGAGCCTTAAGTGGAATTAAACATCTGGGTACTATCATCAACACTATAAACAGTTCTGACTTGCTAAGTTTCTCTAGAATGGTACATTTAACATCAAACCACTCTGAATGACTTGGTTTACCCTTTAAAGGCTGATTATGCATAAATATCTCTTTAAGTTCTCTCTTGATGTTGGAGTATTGCTTTATTAGCAGTTGAGTTAGAGTTATCTTATAAATGTGGTATGAGCTGGAAAAGGCTGTGCCACTCTGACCAAAAAGCCACGCTTTGGCATAAGACCAGATACTCAGAGATCAAACACAGGTGATCATGGCAGAGTGTATTTAAATATAGTGAACATAAACCTTAATGTAACTCAAATCACCCTTCTGTTCACAGATCAAAGTCAAGAAAGCTTTTTTTAAAGAATTCCAACTAACCATACCAATGACAGTGAGGGCTAATCAAATTTCCAGTTGCAGCTTCGCCTCTTTAACTTTCAGAACACTTGTGTGTATAGGGAGGATAATGAGCCTCTGTCTTAACATAGGAGAACATAACATAACCACAAGCACATCTTACACAAGAGGGTGCTTCACAAAGCAAAATTTCTCAGTTAGCCAGACAAGATTAGCTCAGAGTCAAGTCTGTCAAATAAGAGGAGAGATCCTGGCTAAAAAAATCACAGAAACAATTAAAAGTTTCTGTTGATTTCAGGTGGTGTCCATTAGTCACCAACAGTATTTTGTTTTTCCTAATGAATTGATATCACAGGGTAAAGGATTTAATGGTTTAACAAGTGTTCTCAGACTAATTCCAGATGCATTTGGTTTCCTAATGAGATCTAAAGATGGTCTTCAAAACTAGTGGTCTTCAATGGTAACCATTCTGAAAGCAAAACCATCAGATTTTAATGTTAATGGTTCTTTTTTCAGCAGGGATCAGAGACATTTCCTTAGAAAAAATGTCACCTTAACCTTAATTTATCCAGTTTTACAAGAAATCCTGCTTTGTGAAATGCACCCCTGCTTTTTCTACCCTGTGTGTTAGCATTAGCATTGCTAACATCTCTATAAAGCTGTCTCCCCCAAGGCCTACCAAAACCAAACTGACTTTGACTACAAAGAACAGGAGTACAGAGGGACATACAGAGAAAGAGAGTGCGAGAGATGTGGAAAAAGAAAAGGAGAGAAAAAGATAATGAGTACGGGACCAAGTGAGGAAAGTAGAAAGATGCACAGAGAGAAGAAAGAGAGGAAGACAGGCAGTGTGTCTGAGACTGTGTCGCAGCTCATCTCAGAGGAGACAGTGCCTGTCAACAATCATAGCCTCCTGCTGTCACCACAAACACCAACAAGTGGCATCTTCGCTATCCAATCATTCCACTGCCACGTCCACACCACTCTAGTCTCACTGTCAGTCAAACGCACATGCTAGGCTCTGTGCCATAGCTTGTTGCCAAGGAAACACCACATCAGAAAATGCAAGCTTTGGGTTTCTCTTAGAAGACTTCACTTCTGTCAGCATTGTCCTGCTCCTGGCTGTATGGCTTTTTTCCTTTTTCTTTTTTAATCTGCGGTTTTCATCTGCAGTATATTCTCTCAACTGTACAACAGCACTGTAGTACTATAATCCTTTTCTTCGTATCAATGCACTTGTTAAAAAAGTTTAAGTTTAATAGACAAGTTTTGGAACACTTTTTATAGTACACCAAATGTTATGTTTATTTCAGTTTATCAGTGAACTTCATACTGCTGTAACATGATACAAGTTTGATACTGTGAGGTCACTAGGAATGCAAACTTCTTTTGACTGATAACCGACTGTCACTATTCAGTGAATAATTGTTAAATGGCAACCCCAAAATCAAGGACATAACCCATCGAAATGTTAATCGTAAAATGGGTGGTTCCAGTTCTAAAAGCTGACTGGATGAGCCACGTCTGAAGTCATTGTAATCTACTTGATACATGCATGCTTATAAGTGCACACATTACCAAGGTTGAAGTGTGTTCCTTGTGTCAACATTTAACGTAGTACTGATGGGACCAGGCATAAGCGTGTATATCACAGTAAGCAGCTCAAAAAATATTAAGCATACCCTACGTAAGAACCTGCTTTTGTTTAAAACAAGGGGCTGATGACTATAATATGTTTATATGACTGAAAAATAAAAAGGTGACAAAATGACAGGAATAAATAACATACCAAAAAGTATTATATATAATTTTTTCTGATGATATACGTTGCTGGGAGTGAGCTTCACACATACAAGAAATACCATCTTTATGAGAAAAATTCTTTTCAAAAACAAATGCATATACAGCATTTTGGAATAAAACTCTTCATACAATGGTAGGCACCAATAAGTTCTATACACTAAAATTCTATTTGCTATTCATTACTATCATAAGTTAAAAGAAGCATAAATGCCATGACCAAGGCTAGCTTTGGCTCAGTGTACTTCAATAGGTTTCAAAAAAACCCTTACCATCCACCACGTCCTTCTCCATATAAATAATTTTACACAGCCATGTGTAATTTCCTCACACCTCTGTACATCACACTTCCTCTCAGAGAACAAGGACAAAACAGTTGTCTTTCTTATGGAATGTTTGCTTTCAGCATGGTACATTGTTGTTGTCATGCTATCGTTCTCTCAAAAAGTGGTCCCAGATACTGCCTATTGAACCCTCACACAATTAAAAAATATTCCTAAACTTGAAGGAAAAACACGCCTATTAAAATAAGAACTTTTGTTTATTAGAAATAAAATAAAATAAAATTAACATTAATTGATTAAACATTTTAGCATTGGTCAAACCACTGATTGTCAGTTAATGGTTGTTTTATCAGTTAAATCCTTCCTATATTCTATATTCTGTAATTTGGCTGAATTGCTGTAGCTCTATACAAAAAGCAGAAGGAGAATTAGCTCAATAAGTGGGTCATGAATAAGTAATATGTCCCAAGCATCAGCTTCACAAAAAGACTCTTATTATTAACTCCAGTCTCCTTTGGGTAACTCAATGCTGATTTGAAAGGACATTTCATATCACCACTGGCGCAGGAGGTAACAGATCTTAAAATACTGAAGAGCACACTCAGATGTGATGTTTCTCAGTGACCATGCCAGGCTGCAAACAGGGCCGCCAGATTTTATGATGATTACCTCAAAATCAGGGGGAATAAATTCCATGATGCATCACCATGGTTATTTTCGCATGCAGTGCTATATTTGAGACACAGCCAGCTGAAACTGCTTTGAGTTTCCTTGAATGGAGGTGGCATAGTTCTGTTATTTTCATGTTTTATCTTCTGCAATACTGACTAGTTTTGGTTTTCACTGTGTTTCCACAGGTCCTGGCCATCATCTCAATCCTGTTCATTGTGCTTTCCACCATCGCCCTATCTCTCAACACCCTTCCAGAGCTACAAGACATAGACGAGTTTGGACAAGCAACAGACAACCCTCAGCTGGCCCATGTAGAAGCAGTCTGTATCGCTTGGTTTACCATGGAATACCTTCTTCGTTTTCTGTCCTCACCCAATAAATGGAAGTTCTTCAAAGGCCCACTCAACATCATCGACCTGCTAGCCATCCTCCCATATTATGTCACCATTTTCCTGACTGAATCTAACAAGAGTGTGCTGCAGTTCCAGAACGTGCGGCGAGTGGTGCAGATCTTTCGGATAATGCGAATTTTGCGAATCCTTAAATTAGCTCGTCACTCCACTGGACTACAGTCACTGGGATTCACCTTACGACGCAGCTACAATGAACTGGGCCTACTAATCCTCTTTTTGGCCATGGGCATCATGATCTTCTCTAGCTTGGTCTTCTTTGCAGAAAAAGATGAAGAAGACACCAAATTCAAGAGCATCCCTGCCTCCTTCTGGTGGGCCACTATTACCATGACTACTGTGGGCTATGGAGACATTTACCCCAAGACTTTATTAGGAAAGATTGTAGGTGGTTTATGCTGCATTGCCGGAGTGCTTGTCATTGCCCTGCCCATTCCTATCATTGTAAACAACTTCTCAGAATTCTATAAGGAGCAGAAGAGACAAGAGAAAGCCATCAAGAGACGAGAGGCTCTGGAGAGGGCCAAGAGAAATGGCAGTATAGTGTCTATGAACATAAAGGATGCATTTGTTCGAAATGCAGAGCTCATGGATGTGGTGGTGATGGAGAAGACAGAAGAAAACATGGTGAAGAAAGAGAAAGTGCAGGACAACTGTCACACTTCACCAACCCGCTGGAAATGGACACCAAAACGCACCATCTCTGAGACCAGTTCCAATAAGTCTTTCACTGGGAAGGAGCAAGGCTCTCCAGTTAGAGCCACCAGTCCATCCAGCCCACAACACCTCAACGTCCAGAAGCTGGAGGAGATGTACAGCAAGATGGGTAAGACCCAATCCCAGCCAAACTTGAACAGTAAAGAGCGAGGTCCATTGTCTAAATCAACTAGGAGGAAGGATGAAATGGAAATGAGGAGTATTCCTGCTGACCGAGCACCCACCACAACCGATGGTGTGATGGATATGAGAAGCATGTCAAGCATTGACAGCTTCATCAGCTGTGCTACAGATTTTCTAGAGAGCTCAAGATTCTCACATAGCCCTATCTCAACCCAACCTAGCAGAGTCAGCGCCAATCCAGGACTGGAGACCACCCTTGAGCATGAGACCATGAAGAATCCTGTTGGTCCACCCAAGCCTGGGCGAGCCATGTTCTCCGACAGCCCCCGAGGTCTACGAATCAGCAATCCCTTAAAGTCAAGATCCCTCAAGGTCAACTTCTTCTCAGGAGAAACCACGGGTCCTACTGCAGATTCAACCCACGGCGGAGGTTCTGTTGCTCTCTCAGACAGCTCTGTCATTTCTGAACGTTCCGTAATGAGCCCAGAAGTGTCTGTATACACCACTGCCAGCAGCAAGACTCCACCCAAGACTCCTGAGACACTGGTACCAACTGTTTTCACATTTCACGATGCGTCGATCAGCAAGTACATTGACGCAGATACAGATGACGATGACCACCTTCACGATGGACCGGGTTCTAGTCCATCAGAGCGTCTCTTAGGCAACATCAGCCCCAAGCTCAGCAACAGCTCTCACCAACGAGGAGCAAACCACCTAGAGTTATCCCAGAGGATGCTGGGACAAAACAGTCTGTTCTCCTTGGAGGGACGGTCAGTGGGTGGACAAGAGAACCATGTGATTTCAGGAGACAGAGGGCGCTCTAAAACAATAAATGAGAATAATTAAAACAGGGAATGTAGCCCACGACAACTGGAATTATGAATGGTGGCAAGGGTAACAGAACACTGCTGATGGGAACTTAACCTAACACTATTCCAAATCTGAGCAAAACACATGCACCATAACAGCTGCACTTCCATGGATATAGAGTACTCAGTAGACACTTTAGGATAAACTCTTTAATCAGTTTGCTGCTTGAGCCAGCAATGACAGTTTGAATAAGAACTATTAAAAACATTTGCTAGAGACAGAATCTAAGGATGCTTGACAATGACATGAAGATGGTTGACATTTTCCAACCCCAACCCCAACTGTTTTCAGTCCCACTCTATAGAATTAGGTACTTACTGAAGCCATTCTGTGCAATGAGCAATTTCACAGTTTTTTTTTTTCCAAGGATGAATCTTCCTCAAAACTGGCCTTAGTTTTATGAGCCGACAGTATGTGTTGTCTTTGCGAGTGTGGGTGTGTGTGTGTTTAAGCAAGAGGGAGTGCATGAATGCCAGAGAGAGAGAGAATGAGCAAGATATAGAGAGACCAAAACAGTGAAAGAGAATGTGTGAACAGCTGACATCAGTTTCCCAACAGACGCATCGTCTTGTGTGTACACATGCTCTCTGTTTTCAATACAACCTTTTTTCTAAAAAAGATAAATTAAATATTTAAGTTTGCTTGATTTCCCTTCTCCTCTGCCTAATGTCTCAGAAACAGTCCTCTGTGCAGATATGCAGGTGCAGTGCTTTCAGAGGTAACAGCCACTGTGATTCACCGTCTTTGGTCAGATCATGTCATAGCCCATGTGTTGATCATCAGATTGACTTGTTTGATTATGTGTACAGCTCCAATCTCTGTTTTATTTGTTTTTCTCTTTTAATTATGTGACTGCGGAACTCCTCCTATAAAACAGGCAATGGAATCGTCTACATTGTTCAACAGAGCCATGCTCCTTCGTTGATTGACGGAAACCACTCAACATGTTAGGAGCAAAAACAGCCGAACTGAAAGGACAGCCTGAAAACACTTTTTCTTTCCTTTACAGCATTCAGGAATGAAAACTGAAAGAAGATGCTGTTGATTGTATAAAAGAACAATGCTGGAAGTGATATACTGTTCTAAATTATAGTTAGATACTCTCAGCTCTGGTGGAATACAATAGACTTCGGTGCGGAACAAAGAAAAAAAAAACAATGAAGGAATCATAAATGTATATTTTTAAAATATTTTCTAAACGATGGAACTTAGATGAATAAATTATGCTACTCTCTTAGTTTTGCATTTCAATATAAATAGTATAAAATATTTATTTTAAAGGGATTGTATTTACTAGATTATTTGGTGAGGTAATCTCTTTGTATTGTTTGCTACTGTCTCCTGGTCTATATGTTGTGAAATACTTCTGTCTTTTTATTCATTTATCCTTGTACGATAAATGGAGCCAAAGAGTTGTTCACTAATACGGCTGACACTAACGATCCCCTTAAAGGGGAATTGTACCTATTTTTTTAATTTTATTTCTGCAAAAGTCAATCACTGAGGTGTAAACAAACTCATTCAGAGAGGTTTGAAAAGGCATATTGTAGAGAAAAATTACTGACTCGAACCTCTTTACAGTGGTGGTGATAGGAACCAGGGGTCATGATGTCTACAATGCATATATAGCCATTTTATTTACTGTACGAAATGACTAGTGAACCTACACGTCTTCTGAGTTTTTATATGTGTGATATAATGGTGTTGATAATGGTAAAATAGTGCTAAATCCAATAATAATAATAATAATAATAATAATAATAATAATAATGTTTCTTTGAGTACTATTTTGTCTTAGAATGCCCTGCAAGTATTTTTAAATACATTTTAGGCCAAAAACCAACCATTTTCAAACTATCATGAAACAATGTCAGGCATCAGGCAAAGTTTCATAAATATTTAATGTAATCCCTTCCTGTGATGTAGCTTTCAGAAGTATTCACCTATTGGATGTCTCATTCCTATCACCACCACTATGAACAACTGTGACTCAGAAAGTTCCTCTAGAATGGAGAATTTCACATCAAACCACTCTGAATGACTGTGTTTACAAGTGAACGATAAAACGATGCAGGAATTTTGAAACATTGGTGGAATTCCCCTTTAACACTCTCCGGTAAAGTCAGGGCAGGACTCAGCGGTCTTTAAAGTAAAACTCTGGAGCACCCCAAAGCAGCTAGAACTATGTGTTGCATAGACTGTGTTTTAGGGAGATTTTTTTAAAAACAATTTTGATATTTTTGTTTACCTTACATGTTGAATAATTGATGACTGCCACATAATAAGGAACTTTTCAAATGAGCATATTTGCCACATAGTTCATGAAACATTAAAACACAGTTAAATGCTCAGAGATTCAGCACAAAATCACGTTATATGTCAGATTTGCAGCAAATACTGCCCTGCCTTAGATTGCCGGTTACAGATTCTGAAAGCTGCAGACGTTAGACGTACTAATAATAGAGATGGGCATTTGCTGTCTTAGAAGCCATATTACATAGAAATGCACCAACATGCAAAGTGAATCAACACTCCACATGCAAATGTGGGCATTTATAAGCACACAAACATCCTTGACACCATCTTGACACAGCGTAGGCCGCAACTACAACTCAATTAACTTCAGTGCACACTAGGAAAAGAGTCTTTGAGACTGCAACTGTCTTAGTGTCCTACCTGCCCCAGTGTGTGACAGATTCAGGTCACATCCATCTCATCCTATTGATCCAGCTCTCTAGTGCTCCCCATCACATGAAAGATTTACTGCCAGACATACTGAAGCCATTAGCATGGGTGCTAATTGCTACTGAGTTAACTTATAACCGCAGATTGGTGCATGACCAATAGCTCGACACTAAGCTGATCACTTGCTCTGAGTGGTTTTGCCCAGGCTGAATCTCTGTCAACAGGCTGAAGGCATTTGATATGTAGAAGTCATAGGAAATTTTCAAGATTCCACTTGTGCATGAGTCAAACTAAAAATAGGACAGACCTTCACAAAGAAAATAAGAAATTATTTAGATGACGCTGTCCTGTTTTCCTCTTTGGCTGTTGACGTTTCTACATTAAAAGAGGTGGATACTTTGTCCCTTTGTCTATGTTTACATTGTCTCTATGTCTGTCCCCATTACTTTCTGTCCTCCTTTCATGACATTTGTTCTGGCAGATCTGTTTGTCCGAGGGCCACAAGAGTCTAAATGAAAGGTAAACACGTTCAGCAAGGAATAAAAACACAGAAAACTGGGCTGTAGGTGTTGTGAAAGTGCGAAGTGCACACAGAGAGAGAGAGAAAGAGAGGGAGAGAGAGAGAGAGAGAGAGAGAGATACTCCAAACAGGTATAGCTCTGACAACACAGTTTCCATGGTGATAGCAGCACCATCCAAAACAGTCTGGCACTGACAGGCTGTCTGGCCTACCGAGCATGGAACGTTAGTCAGACTCATGTAAAACTCAACACTATTATCCCTCATGAACCACACAGGTCACTGCATCACGTTACCATTACGGCCGTTTGTCCGCAAACAGACAGTGGACGCAAATAAAATAAGAGAACAAGCTGAAACACTGTGTGCTGCCTTGTCTGACCTACTGTGCTGGCTCATTATAGTATGGTACTAATGCATTATGATCAGAATGTGACAGGTCAAGACAAAGGAGATACTGGATTCATTATTTACAGAGTCCTTTCTTCGTTTAAAAAAAGAATGAAAAGAATGAAACCATCTGAAATGCACAGGACGTAACCTATACAACTGCATCAAGCTTGAAAAGGTAATGTAACTATCCATTAGCACCACAGTCATTTTTAGCGTGCCTTTTTTTTTCTCTCTGAGTCTTCAATGAAAAAAAAACTGTGATGCAGGTAATCTCATTAAGAGGATATGATGGCTGCAGATAGTGAACATGAATATGAACACTACTAAGATTGCATATACATACTATATTGAGTTATGGCAGCTTGCAAGAAAGGAGAGGAATATCTGTAGAATTTGACTGCTGCTTAAAAAAAATCAGAAAGGAGGAAATCTAGAAAAAGGCACCAAGACTTACACTGAACTGTGCTGAAACTTTCTGAAGGCACATGTGTTTCTTCTACTTCAGAGTCCAAACACTGAATTCTATAAATAAAGGATCACGAATATGTTTCAAGAGCACCAACAAAAGTTGCTTATGTGAACAATAGTTGCTACATTTTTTGTGCTTTTAGGACACAAATTTACAGCAATTTAAACTTGTCAGGTTTATTAGGATAGCCCCCTATAAATCCCCTAATATCTACAAGTGTTCAAATTATTTTAAAAGAATCTGGTCGTTAGGGTTAGGATCTCCACCAGGGTTAAGTTTAGGACCAGGGTTAGTGTCAGGATTAGGTTTGGGGTTGAGGTTAAGGTAGGGATTAAGAATAGGGTCAGGATTAGGGAAAATTCAGTTGAATTTAATAGATATTTTGTTTAATTTATCTCAAATGCAATTTGAGCAGTCATACGGTGTCTACAGAGGGCTGTCCAAATAAAGTGTTACGTAGACGTGTAGTAATACTATGAAAATGTTTAATTTCCTATCTGGCTTGCATTTCTGTAAATTTCCTCAACTGCCAAAGCTACATAAACCCTCCCAGCAACAGAACCATCTATGGCCGCATTATTGGCCCTTTGCTTGAAAAGTAGTTTTACGACGCCCTCGTGTGGCGTGCAAAAGAAACTATTTACAAACAGCATAAATGTGATTTAGTGGTGCATTTAGCACACGCGAAGCTCTTTTACCCTCCCTTGTGACTTTAAAATACTTATACTCAAATGGCTGAAGCGAGATTAGGTCTGACACGGAGTTACCTTGAGGGTCCTAATAATGTGGGCAAAAACGCAATAAAATAGTTACTAAATAGTTAAATGGATATTAATAATAATTTTCTTACTTTTTGTGCACATTATTAGGAACCTAAATTTTTTTATTCTGAGGTCAAGATTCAATTAAATTTTCGCTATTTTATGTGTTATGTGTGTTATTTTATGTCTTATACTACAGAGATTGGTTTGCCTCAGATAAATGAAAGTTCTCAGTAGGTAACTTTTCAATGATAGCAAGCAGACCTATAACAAAAAAGCCCCCAAACATCGACTATAATATTTGATATTATATGAACAACTTCAAAAAAGTCATTTAGTTACTCTGAGGGAATGCAGCCAGATTTCGGTCACTGCCAGTTTCCAAAATACAGAAAATGAAAGGTCTTCGGAAGAAGGCGAGGGACATATTTTTGATACAACTATAAATTTTAAATAAATAATTTTAAAGATTTTTTTTTTTATCAAATCACACCCTTAGAAAAGTCAGAGACCCCTTAAAAGTCTTTTCTAAACACTGTACTGTAAAATGAAGCATCAACGTTTGATGTCTCAAACAAATGAATGTACTATAAATAATAAGTTAAATGATTAATATCGATCATATTGATTACATGTGAAATTACAACGGCGCCTAAAATGACGTTGTCTTGCCAAAGTCTTACATCATCAAACTGCGACTCATATTTGGCATAAGTGTGGGAAAGTGAGCTCGTCTCGTCTTAATGGCGCATCAAAAATCCTGAACCGGTGAAGATTTAAAGGGAGCTGTTAGTCTTTTGCTCGGTAATGTGCTGCTGTGAAGCAGTCTTATTTACACACAATGTGTTTTATTGCTCTTTGCTGTTTGGCCGTGTGAAGTTGAGAGAAAAGCGCGGTTGGCCAGTTAGCTTAGCTCCGCTCGCATTACACCGAAATGTGTTTTGCCGTATTAGTAGCTAGCATTAGCGCTAGATGTCTACTAGCAAGCTAACGCCATTATAACAAACACTATCTGGCCCACATTTATGCAGTATTACTAATAATTTTGTGCGCTTCTTGATATTAGTGGGAGTATCTGAGTGTTCAGGAAAGCTGATAAATGGCTAGCTTACAGGCTAACGTTACTCCGTCTCCGCGGGCTGAGCTCGGATGTCATTCTGCCTCTTCCTCCTGTTTTGGAAGTCGTCCAGACCTCACTGTTCCCTTTCTCCTCAGCTTTCTGCTCTCTGCCAGTAACCTGCGATGAGTTTGTTCGGCTCAGGCTCCGGTTTTGGTACCGGAGGCACGGGAGTTTTCGGCAGCACCACAACAGACAGTCATAACCCAATGAAGGTAGCTAAAGCACTGTCAGTACAAAGGCAGTGTTCTGTTAAGCAGAGCTGCAGACATTGTTGTGTTTGTTACTCGCAAATCGCCCACTTTCTCTTATTGGTCTTGTTGATGCAGGATGTTGAGGTAACGTCCCCACCAGATGATAGCATAAGCTGCTTGGCCTTCAGCCCTCCAACTATGCCTGGAAACTTTCTGATTGGAGGCTCTTGGGCAAATGATGTAGGTTGTTGTTAACGTTATAATAGTTATAACACAGATATGTTGTGCTGTGTAATATTATGTAATACTGTTTATTGTGCTCTGTGATATCAGGTGCGATGCTGGGAGGTGCAGGATAACGGCCAGACTGTTCCTAAAGCTCAGCAAATGCACACAGGGCCAGTGCTGGATGTCTGCTGGAGTGATGTACGACAGATTATACTTTAATGAATTATTCTGCTTAAATATAATCTTTGTGCTCCAACTTTTCACTAAATGTGTTTACGAGCACAAAATTCACAAAAATTCTACTGATTTAATCCTTACAAGTAGACTTTAAACATAACTTGGCATGCACATAATAGCATGCAGCTTCTGTTTAAGTTATGTTGTAGTACTTTATGATGAACTTGCAGGCACCAGCTGTCCTAATACCGTCTTCTACCACCTGTTTGCAGTATTTTAAGTGTAGCAAATGTACAAAGAGTTACAGATACAGTTGTCTGTATTAACAGGATGGAAGCAAGGTCTTCACAGCCTCCTGTGACAAAACTGCCAAGATGTGGGATCTAAACAGCAACCAGGCAATGCAGATAGCACAAGTAAGACATTTTTTGTTCACAAACACAGGTACACTTGTAAGGAGAGAATATTGTGGAATCAACAAAGGAATAATTATTGTCATTATTTAGTCTTATGTTAAATATCTTTGTTTTGTGTGTGTTTCTTTTAAGCTAGCTTTTGTAATGTGGTTAAACATTGACTATTTTGATTAATAGGCAAGTGAAACTCCACTCCCTAATGTTGTTTTTTGTTTATTTTATCTAGCATGAAGGTCCAATCAAAACAATCCACTGGATAAAAGCCCCAAACTACAGCTGTATCATGACTGGCAGTTGGGACAAAACACTGAAGGTAGGTGCATGTTGTGGTTAGCCTAACTGCTTCACTTCCTTTGGGTGTTTTTGAGTGCCCTTTTCTCAGTAGCAGGCTCACTGACACAGTGTCCTTACAGCAATTTGTTTGGCTGTAGCCCATTAGATTTGGTTGCATGCATTATAGGTTATGCTACCTATGATTAACACCCCTGAGTAAACTGACACTGGAATTACTTTCTTCCTGGCTGATTGACAGTTCTGGGACACACGCTCTCCAAACCCCATGATGTCTTTGCAGATGCCAGAGAGATGCTACTGTGCTGATGTGGTAAGCAAGTGATCAGACATTAGACTTTGCATCCAGTGTTTCTTATGAAAAAATCTGTGATTGGTTGGACGGCTGTATTTTAATTTATTTTAATTTTAATTGAGTCTTTTCTTGCTGTGAGTAATGGATTAAGCTGTGTCGTTGTTTTAATGGTACACCAAAGTACTGCTACAGGTGAAATGTTTATTGTGGATTAAGCAAGGATGCAGAGCCACATTCTCTAAATATAAGCAGTGGTTCTTGATCTCTGTCCTGGAGTACCACTACACTGCACTTTTTAGAGTCTCTCTTGCTCCCAGCATACCTAATGAAAGTAATGAACTAAATAAAAAGCACTTCCTGAGGAAAACTGGGTGTGTTGGTAGAGAGAAAACAGTACAACCTGCGGTACAGAGGTGCTTCGGGACCAGGATTACGAAACACTGAACTTGAGCTCATAAGCTTTCACTTTTTTACTCTGTTCAGTCTGGTGTGCCTGCCTTAGGGAATATTTTTCCCTGTACATCTTTAAACTGTCCCAAACAATTGAATACTGTGGCAAAATACCTTACCAAGCAAAATACCTTACCAAAAATTATTTCACACAAAAGCTTCTGCTCTTTACAGTGTTGCTCTTGCATAAAAGAACAACTCTGTTTTTTCACTCTTTTGTCTACTCGAGAGTTTTGATGCGGGCACTTCAAAAGAATTTTATTATTCGTTGTGTTGGCAACAGCCATATGCTGAAAGTGCTCTGGTAATAGAAATGTTCAGATGAAACCATAAAGAAAAGCGCAGTACAACCTCATTAGTGTAGCATTGTTGTTGTACATTAGCAAAATACAATTTTTATTTCTGAGTGCTTGCTTTATCTTTGTGTAAAGGTTTATCCTATGGCAGTAGTGGCCACTGCAGAGCGAGGCCTAATCGTATATCAGTTGGAGAATCAGCCATCAGAGTTCCGGCGTATAGATTCACCTCTGAAACATCAGGTTTGTCCCAGTTTTTCTTACTTCTACGCTAGCTGTGCACATGGAGTTGAACGGAAAAGGTACAGCTCACTGGAAAAATTTTGAAGGAAAGTTTTAGAGGCTTTTCAAGCATTGAAGTAGGCAAACCATGATACAGAGATTTGTATTCAGATTTTTTTTTAACGAACAATACTTCAGTCTAACAGTGCTAAATCATATAGTGATATTTTTCATATTTCTGTGTCTCCCCCCCTCAACTGTGTGTATTTTGATTTCAAAATATGTCTGTTTTGTACAGCACCGTTGTGTGGCCATCTTTAAGGATAAACAGAATAAACCCACTGGCTTTGCGCTGGGCAGCATTGAGGGGCGAGTGGCCATTCATTACATTAACCCACCCAATCCGTAAGTCCACAAAACCAATCCAGCCTTCTACACTGAGTGACTAGTTTATGAATGATATAAAATGCTCAATGAATTTTGTGTTGTTTTTCTAGAACCAAGGATAACTTCACCTTCAAGTGCCATAGATCCAATGGAACCAATACAGCCACACCACAGGATATTTATGCTGTATGTACACTGGCTTGTTATCATTAACAGATCTTACATAGATCTAATCACAATAAGCAAGTACAGTGTGAAAGTTAACAAATTCACAGAGATGGTTAAATTGAATGGAGTAGAAAAATGCTAGTTATAACCAGGCAATGGTACCATTCTGTGTTGTAACCTGTGCTTATAAATAATGATAATTTTGATGTTATTGATATGGTTGTTCCTGTATGTATCTTATGTCTCTGTATTCTTTCTTAGGTCAATGCTATTGCTTTCCATCCAGTGCATGGCACACTGGCCACAGTGGGATCTGATGGCCGCTTCAGTTTCTGGGATAAGGATGCTCGCACCAAGCTGAAAACCTCTGAACAGCTCGACCAGCCAATCACAGCTTGCTGCTTCAACCACAATGGAAATATCTTCGCCTACAGCTCCAGCTATGATTGGTCCAAGGTACAGCCTACCATCAGACAGGGAAATTGTGCATAAGTCGACAGAGAAAGTCATGGTATTTATAAAAGCTGTTAAATGCACACTATGTGGAACTCTTTTCAGTATATGAAAATGATGCAATTGCTTTAATGACAGTACAGTTTTCTATAAACTGTCTAAACCTACACATTCATGTATTGGCTAGGTGAGAAAATTGTTCTCAGCATTTCGACTGAAAGGAGTTATTTTTAAGAATGAAGAATCTAGCCCATGGGTCTTATTCGTCTTATTAGTCTTACTTGCAGAGGGCTGGTGTGGCTGCAGGCCTTCGTTCCAGCCAAGCAGGAGCACACCTCATAAGTGTTTGAAGACAAAGACTAATTAAACAAGTGGAATCAGCTTTGATTGGAAAGGAGTACACCCTGTACATAAAAGACAGGGAACTTCTGTTGTAGCTGATGTAAAACATTGTTTCCCGGCTCCGGTCCTGGAGCGTTATTGTTAACCAATTATCATGTCATTTTTAAGCTAATGCCGATGTGTGAAAGTGTGAGAAACAACAAAATATGCAAGGCAGAGGCTCTATGACTAAGACTGAGAACCAATGACCTAATTACACATAAGAAACTGTTGCCATCTGCCTTTTTTTGCAATACAGTTTTTGTAGCTGTGTGTGTCTGTGCATGTTACAGAGACTCTTTGGTTCAGGTATTAAAATGGAAAATAAACCTGCAGTAAAGGTTCTTCTCCCTTTTAATGTCTGATGTTGTACTTCATAGGGGCATGAGTACTACAACCCCCAGAAGAAAAACTACATCTTTCTGCGGAATGCGGCTGAGGAACTCAAGCCTCGGAACAAGAAATGGTGAGAGTGGGATTTCCGTTACCATGGAGATGGTGTCTGTCGCCAGTCAGGGCTGGGGTTGCCCTGCTTCTATGTGCTGACTCTCCTCTCTGTGCTCTGTTGCCCTCCTCAGCATCCCAGGATGCTTTGCATGCTGGAACAAGGGCGTTTTTGCAGGGGTTTGCTGCTGTTTAGAGTTACAAGGGTCAGAATGTAAAACAGAAATGTTGCTCAAAGTTCGCAGGTATTGTTCTGTAAAATGTCACAGTTTCTGACTGTCAGAACAGTAGTTAGATGCATAGCTCAGATCAGAGCTGGATTGTGCTGCATCCAGGCTTTGTGGTTACATGTAGATCTGTTTTCACTGGGAAAGTGGGAATGCTTAAGTAGTCTTAACATTCAGTGATGGAAGCCATAATTCATTCCTGTTTGCATTCAGTTTCTGTTGGTTTAATTTTGTGAATCCAAATAACATTAGTAGTAACATTGATTCACTACTGATCATAATTACTTGGTAAAAGCTGTCAATGGAGCACGAAGCCTTAAAAGGGGAATTCCACTGATTTTTCAAAGTTTCTACATAATACAATTGTTAAAACGTGAATAAAGTTATTCAGAGTGGTTTGATATGAAATGTTTTGTTGTAGTGAAGCTTACTGACTATCTTTACAGTGGTGATGATAGGAATCAGGGGTTGTGATGTCTGCAACACACATATTAGCTATTTTATGTACTATTCAAAACCACCAGTGAACCCACAGGTGTTTTTAGTTATTATTTGTATTGTTGATAATGGTACAATTGTGATTGTTTCTTTTGGGACTTATAACACTTTATAATTCCCTGCACTTATAATGTCCTGCATGTACCTTTCCACCGTTAGCACAGAGCATTTCCACTGTTAGCACAGAGCATTTCACATCAAACCACTATGAATCACTTTGATTACATCTTAACAATTTAATCATATAGGAATTTTGAAGAATCGGTGGAATCCCCCTTTAAGAAGCTTACCAAAGACAAGAATTGAAATAAACTGAAAGAAAAGTGGTATCTTAGAGTATTTTGTTCGACGTGTTGAAGTGTGTTCTTGTTTTGGGGGGAGGGAGAGAGAAACAATAAACGTGATTTGAAAAAGAAAAGTGCTGTGATGCCTTATGACTGACCACTACCCCTCCTGTCTTTAGATCCGTCAAGCTGTCACATCTCGGAAGACCTGCGTTAGTGTGTAAATACGGGAGAGAGCGAGAGACTCCTTATGGCTAACATCTGGACCAATGGCGTGGCATTGCATACTTTGTATGGACCAATCAGGAGGGGCCATCCGCCCCTATGAAATGGTGATGACAGCTAATGGCTTTTGAGTCAAACAAACGAAGCCATGCTTTAGTGTTCTTGGTGTACCTTATATTGTTGTTTATTCTTTTTCTCTTCTTTTTTTACATTCATGACTGCAGCTCTTTTTTTTCTTTTTTTTTATATTGCTTTCCAAAGAAAATGACATTTCCATCTCTGCTTTGCTGTCACAGCATGGTGTAGAATCCAGTCTTGATTATGTGAAACCAATAAATAAATCTCTGCAGGACTCTCTCCACATTTTGACATATTTCTATTCTTATGTTCTGGAGGAAACAAAGAGGGATTGTGTTTGGTGTGTGTCTCTCAGCGTATCCAAGGTATCTTACTTTAAATCTCTGGTTCCTACCCGTGGTCCTGGAGTACCCCCTGTACTGCGAATTTTTGTGTTCTGATCCATCACAGCGACGTCAACTCACTAAGAAGCTTGTTAATTAACTGATTAGTTGAATGTGTTTGGAGCAGAGAAAATATCAAAATGTGCCAGGTTTAGGAACAGCTGCTCTAGATAATGTTCTCCATTGGGAGCTTTTACTCTGTTTGGTTACACCTACAGTCAGACTGTTGGTTCAATTTTCAAGCGCTTCATGCATTTGATAACTTGCAATGGACAAAAAAGGACAATGAGCAGGGCAGTTAGCACAAAGAACCGCCTGTTTAGGATATTGTGACTTTTACGAGACAGTTTTAATTCACATCACCAGTGTGAGGTCGGTATTATCTAGCTGATCACTACAAAGCTTGCATTTTTGTAGATGCATTGTACTTGCTGAACATGTGAATGTTATGTACTTTGATACTAGTACAAAGTAAATCATAGCTACTTTGATATTTGATAAATTTATATTGTCTAAAATAGGCATGAAATGTTTCTGAAGAGAAACCCCACAATCAACTTTGATCGCTTTTAGGATTTATGTCCACTAGGAGGCAGCGTGTCACTTCCAGTCTTTGGGTTGAAGTGTGGCTGATTATCAAAGCACACAGATCAAAGTGAGTGAGTGCATCAGGTGAGCCTGTGGAAAAGACGAGCGAGCCACTGGAGACTTATCAGTAGGATATGAATAGCATGTTGGGGCGAGCTACAAAGGCCTGGAGTGAGAAGGCTCGCATGCCCGGAGTGTAAAGGTGTGAGAACTGCCACCTTGCTGCAGTCATTAGACCATCACCTCACTGTCAGCTAGGACTTCAGCACTTCGCAGGGGCACTCCAATAGAACGTGGGAGAGGAACTGCCAAGACCAGACCGGCCTGAGCGTCATTCCTTCAGTCTTAGATATTTGATGCCCTTTAGTTCCTCCCACAATGCTTTGCGAGTGTGTGATGAGAGCAGGCTGTACCTCTTAGTGCCATGAACGGTTCACCATGGTCCAACGGTGGCTACAACTGGCACAGTTACATGAGTGAAGGAGTGAACAGTGGAGGGGTACCCAGTGCATGGTGATACAAGCCCTGGCCTGTTCTGCTGCTGTGCAGAGGCTTGGTTGATTGATGCTGTTCTGCATTTATGAATAATGCAGAAGAGGGCTCCAAGGCCTTTGTGACATGACCCTGCTTTAGGTCAAAGGAGCTGAAAATCACAAGCCTGGTGCAGTACTGCTACTGAGTGTACAGTTCAATAGAGCATGCTGAATTCAACAGCTTGGGCTCTAGGATGATGCTTTTAGACCATCATTTTCTCAGAATGTTGTTTGTGCAGTGTAGAGTTATCTATGCAGCATTTGTTTAGCCAGTATTGAAAGCCCCTTCCTCTACACCATAGAGCACACATTTAATACATTTAAGTTCATTCAGTCTTGGCGGGCTATTTGCATTAAAAAGCGATCAAATGGGCTGTGCGAGTCACTGGGCCAGAGAACTGCCGGTCGTGAATCGTTTGTGTTGTCACTGTAAATAGTTTTACGAGCATCAAGTTCTCAGAAGCAGACCTGCCTCCCCACCACACAAAATCAGATTTACGGTTTGGCTCAATTTCAAACAAAAAACGAATTAGACTACTGGTGCAATACTATACAGCCTCAAAGAATGAAAACGGCCTAATCCTTTCTTCAGAATGTGGTTTGAAGTTTGGTACGCCTGGCTTATTTAAAGGATAAAGAAAAAGAATTGACCATAGCTGCCTCTGATACAGTCACTTCGTACAGTAGGCAACGTGAGCTAAAAAGCACGGCTGACATGACTAATGTTCACTTATCACAATTTTATTTTGTTATAATGGTCTTTTGTATTAAAGGAGCCGTGGCCATTTTTGACGGGACGTATTTTTTAAATATTTTTTTAGAAATAAAACCTTTTATTAAACGTTTTTCAGGCGTACGGTGGCTGTTTTCCTTTGTTTGCTGCAAGGACACAAAGCAGGTGCGAGTTTAACTGGGCGGACGGAGAGGAGGAGACATGTGACGTCACAGCAAAGTTTTCGGAGAGTCGCTAGAAAAACGCGTACTGCCATTGGCTGCGATTTGTTGTGGGCGTGGCTTAGTTTAGACCGTATATATAGAGGTATCCCGGAAAACTGTGAGGGGAGGTAGTTTTTCGCAGCGCATGGAGCGGCGTACCGGGGAGCGCAGTGACTAGCACGGCGATGTTGAGGGTTGATTAAAAAATTTACAAGAAGTTTTAAGACTGAGGAATCTGAACTCTGGACGGCCAGCCTTTTTGACTCTTTTCACACCAGGATCGTTTTAAATATTTAAGGGCTGTGTGTCTGTGTTTTTTGTTTTTTTTTTAGCTTCTGTCAGAAGCGGAGTTGAAGCAGTCAATGCTTTTACACCAGTTCATGAACAGCACACTCGAAGCTATGCACCCAACAGGAATCCAAAAAGACACTACTTTCACCAAGATCTTCGTGGGTGGTTTACCCTACCACACAAACGACGCCTCGCTGAGAAAGTACTTCGAAGCGTACGGCGACATCGACGAGGCGGTGGTGATAACGGACAGACAGACGGGGAAATCCAGAGGTTACGGCTTCGTAAGTAACTGCAGCGCTCACTCTCGCAGCTCCTACTTTGTCTAGCGGTGTTAGTACCTCGTTGTTTCTTATGTCCCCTCCCTGAATCTACTTCACCACTGCGTTTATTTATTTCCTCGCGCATTTGTGCACGCGCGTAAATGCGCACGTGACGCGCTCCGTTTTTGTGGCGGGTAGATAAGCGTATCTGCCCTGTGTGTTGGCGAGGGAGCACAAAAGTGCAGCATTATGTTCCAGTTTGACTCTAAAACACCCCTTCACTCGCACGGAATTCTTTCTTAGCCCACACCTCCTCTAGTACTTAGTCAAGCCAAACTGCTGTGGGCGAGAAGGACATCACAGTTTGGGAAACAGCCTTCGCCTTAGTGAGCTCTTGGCTGGCTACCAGCTAGCACGTGTGTGGTGTGAGGGCTTTATATGGTGAGATTTTCTGAATGATGTCTCCCCCGCTCTCTCTTTGAACTGTTCATGCTACAGTAGTGAGGGCCTGGAGCACTCAGCCGCTTAAGTGATGTTTACACAGTCTTAACGGCCCTCAGAGTGGCAGTTCATTTTTGCCTAAGATGGAGAGCTCGCCGGTTTGCAGGTTCATAACATCGCCAGCTATTTGGGCTGCCTCACGGAATCTCTGACCAGCTCCCTCAAACTGTATCTAGTGCTGCAGTGGTCAACAACGTTTTTCTTGGAGACCCTGTGGAGTTTATTTGAAGCTAATGTGGTGCACCTGATCTAGCAAGTCAGTCTCTTCAGAAGATCTTGATGCACTTGACCGTTTGATTAGATAACACGATTGCTCTGGATTAGCATTTGGGGCTGAACTTCAGAATTTGAATTTTGTCTTCTGGAACTAGAACTGGAACTTTTTTAAGGACACCCAGCTCTCCTCCAACATAGGCTTTTGTATTCATATTTATGCCCTTGTGTGCTTTTATTCAAATTCTCTGGCTTTAGAATGTTTGAACATTCTGTCATTGTGATATTATACAGGGGTAGTTCTGCATCAACCCCTGTCGCCCACCCAGACAGGCCTGAAGAACTTCCCCTGGGAACTTAATGATGAGGAACTTGTTTAAAATAATAACCCAAGCTGTCGTTTTTTAGGTTTCACACACTACACATGGTCTCATTGGCTTGTGAGCCAGCAGCAGAGCCAAAGTAAAGGTATTAGGAAGAGAGGGGTTTTAAAAGGACACTCAGAAACCATGCACTCAGGGACACACCGGCAAATATGCAAATATTTATCACAAACCAGGAGTGACTAGTCAGCCAATAGCTGATGATCAAGCCAAAGATGGGCTGGAAAACATTGCTAATGTGTCCCCTCAGGCTTTGAAACTGTAAATCAGTACATGGTGATGAGATGTCAGGAAAAAAGGCAGCACGGCAGGTCTGAGAGGTCTGTGCTCTAACGGCTGCTCTTGGCTGTGTGTGTGGCTCGGCGGGTTTGACAGGCTTAGGAAGATGGGGGTGTCTACCTCTAGAGTGTAAGGTGGTCTGTATGATCCTTTCAAGAACTTGTTTCCCTAGTAAGCGTATTTCTTTTCTGATAACTGGAGAAACTTGATAATCCTGTTCTTTTTTTTGAAGCAATGAGGAAAAGAATGCACGCGTTTGCACTGTATATGGTCCCTATGTTCTTTTAATGACCTCAAAACTAAAGGTGGCTGTGTCAGTTTTGTGTAAATTTTACTGTAGGTTGTTGACCTCAAGTCTGTTTTGTATGCTAGTATTTTACTGTTTATCCAATAGTTGGCAGTTTAATTCCCTGTTGTGAAAGAATTGTGTTTTACAAGAAATATTCCTATTCAGTGGCAGCTGCCAATAGTGCCTTGCTGGCTTTGGTAACATGTTTGTGTCAGCTGACGTAGCTAGCCTTTGTAAATGCTGACAGCAGTTCATTCTACCTCTAGGTGACTATGACTGACAGGGTGGCAGCGGAACGAGCCTGTAAAGACCCAAACCCTATCATTGATGGTCGGAAGGCCAATGTCAACCTGGCCTACCTTGGGGCCAAGCCACGCAGCCTTCAGGCAGGTGAGCAGGCACAATAAAAACCCATGGGAACACCTACTTTTATCCTTACTCTCAGCCTTCAGATGAGCTTTGTTCAGTTGTTGCATGTCACATGAGCACCACTGTATTGCAGTAACACATTTTGCACATTTTTATTATAGGGATATCTCTTGGTGTGCAGCCCATCCACCCAACACTTATTCAAAGACAATATGGGTAAGTCAGTCACTTGCATTTGTGTTCTTTCACATTCATGCTGTACGTTGATATTTTTCAGTGTCCCACAAGCCCCAGTGACCAATACACTTGCAAAGCAAATTAGGAAAGCACATACAGCGGAAATGGAACATAAAGAGCTTTTGACTTGACAAGGTCACTTGTCTGGCAATAGACCTGTTGCTCTTTGTATAAAAGCATGTTCCTAAATTTTCTCTCTATTAATTTTGTGTTTAAGGGCATATGCATGAGGATGGTCAGTGAGGTTCCAGTAATGTCCTTAGGGAGATTAAAGAGGGAATGTTCTCCAGTGATCATTTCAGAGACTACAGGTTTTGGAATGCCCTCTTCCTGCTAACCATGTGTTGCTGTTTTGAGGTTCATAATGTAGGTGTATTATTTGGATACACTCTTACCAAAAAGGCTCTTTGATATGGAAGCATATCCGTATCAAAATGAATGAAAATACAATGTGTCAAATGGCAATGTATTTGTATGTTTGCATCTAAATTTGCTCATATACTTAATGTTGAGCTCAAAATGAAAAGTTCAATACTCCGATTTTATTTTACCATTTGCTATACTAGTATTGACGTGTCTTTTTCACAAATATTTAGGTGCTTTATGAGTAACTTAATTTAAATTAAATTGTATGCTTAATGTCATTATGCAATGATTGTGTCAATGCTAAATAAAGATGATAAATCTTTTTTTTTTATATGCATATGTATATTCAATCTCATGTATATTCATATCATTTTAATTGCATTATCAAAAAGAACACCAAGCTAGAAAGATGGCAAAATTAAAATGTAAAAAGGGAAACGGCACCTCTCCTCTTCGCTTTGTAATTTGAATTTTCATTTTGAGCTCAACACTGCATATATGAGTGGTAAATTTAAATGCAGGCATACAAATATGTTAACATTTTACATATTACGTTTTCATTTTAATTTTGTTACTGATGCTTCTATATTGTGACTTGTAACAATACTAAAACCTTTTAAACTATTTTTTTAAGGTTCTTTACAGAACTATAAAAGTTTCTTCATAGAGAAGAACATTTTAATCACACAAAGAACCATTGTTATTTGTTGCAGTTTTTTAAACAATTATTGTCTGTACTAAGGAATCTGTGAATCACTGTTTTTAAGGCCATTTTTAAAGCTAACCCTACCATAACCAGGACAGTTTTAGTCCAGGATGAAATTTTAGTTCAATCATGCTGTATTTTGCTTGTTGTCTGTGAGCTTCTGTTAGCAAATGGCGTCCAAATATCGATGGGAATTTGGCTTTTGTGGTTATTCCATGGTTTTAGCCTTTGCTTGTGGACAAAGCCAGCCAGCCAGCATTTTATTAGCCCTGAAGTTATACCACCCAAGACACCTGTGTTTCTTAGCAACTTGTCAGCTCATTACAAGTGTTTTGCTTTGCTCTTTAATGGTCATGGTACGTTATAGTTATACTTTTCAGTAAGTCTGTTTCATTTGCCATGGAGACAGACTGGTTTTGATCAAGTCTAAGCCAGGTTATAAATGTGCTCATGTGAAAGGGTCCTTGAATGTTCTGTCTGTCGGTGAGTTGGTTGCTGTGGTAACGAGGTGGAGCCCTGTTGGGGAGAACATGCTTTTCTGTCTATATGACAGGTGTTGGCTCCTATTTCCTCAATTATACCCTTCATACACGTTTACCCAACCCCCCAACACACACACTCACACATACTGGAGTTTAGAGAACACCTGTCGCTTTTCCCAATGGAACTCATTGTCTCTTTCAGCTTAGAAACTGATTGTTATAGGAGGTATTTGCATGCCAGCTTTCTTTAGGGTTTTTATTCTTTTCTGGTCAGTCTTTTTTATTTATTCACTCTGTATACCCACACTCATTCTGATTTCTTTTTCCTTTTTCTTTTTGACCTTCATGACCCCTGCTACCCACATTCTCACTCTCAAACTGTTCTGTCAAGCCATTGCTGACTCTTAGAAGAACAGTCCACAGAGAGAGCTTTCCACATCATGCAGATCAAATGTCTAACCAGCATCAAAACTGACATCTGTTACCACGGACACACATGCCTGTATATTTATTTTGCACAGCATTCCAGTTCTCAAACTGTCCACTACAGTGAGTTATTTTTCATTCTTCACTGATTCCATATTTGCACTCTTGACAGTGTTGTGTGAAGTTTTCTAGGCGGGTGAAATCAGTCATGTTGTCAGGTTAGTGATTAGTTTGGGGCCCTGAAAAGTGACACCACAGTGAGAATGAGGCGTGTGGGTTGGGGGGGGGTGAGTCATTGAGTTTTGAGTAAAGAGAGAAATGGGGAGGTTTTGAGATTGGTTCCCCTTACAGTGATATAGTTTATGGTTTCCTGTGCTCCATTTTTGTGCTACAGATGTGAGCTGTTGTCTAATCGTTCTATGAAAAGCCACTCCCTCTGAAAGTTCTCCACTTTGCCTATGTAAACAGCATGGCCGTGGTGTTCATTTGTGCTTACTTTTTGATGTCCTTCTGCTTGTCTTGCTTTTCTTTTTTATTTGTGTGGGCTTTCCCCCTCCCCCTTCTGAGGGAAACTAGAATAAAGGGATGAATGGTTTGTTTATTTTTTTTTTTTTACAACATACTTGTAAACAAAGTGTGTGTGTGTGTGTGTGTGTGTGTGTGTGTGTCTGAATGCTTCTTTGTCTCATGAAGGGCTATTAAGTTGTTGTTTTATTGGTTAAATGATGCTGTTTGTTTTTTATCATTAGTTTACTTGCACTCAATTGTTTCCTGCTAAATTTAGATAGAACTTGATGTTGATCTGCATCTACATTAAACTTGGTGTTCAACTTTTGATCTGAAGGTTGAATCATTAAGAATTAACCATAACTGCTGTTTCCTCAAGTATGTTTTCTGGGGTAATGATTAGTTTGTGGAATCCAAATTGTGCACTGCATTTGCAAGTGTTCCACTGCTTTATCATGAAGCAGAGTTTTAGAATAGAGTTAAATAACTACCACCAGCCAGTTATTGCTGTGTACAAGAAACCAGCGTGTAAATGTGACATGGTAATTGCCTAGTGACTGAGGCATGTGTGTAAGTGTGTGTGCGCATGCACACAAACGTCCTTGACTCTATCAGCCATGCCTGCTCTCCTCTGACGTTAAACAAAGCTGCTAGAGCTTTTACTCAGACCATGACACTCAGGACTGAGCAAGTCTTGGGTGGCAAATCTAGTCCCAAGACCACAATACCACCCTTTGCGTTTTGTTATTGTGTACATGCGCAAGTGTGTTAGAGTGGGAGTTAATGTACAGTGCAATTTGGTACAAGTTATTCATTTTTCAGAAAAACATTTAACAAAAGGTTGCACAGAAGCCTCAATAACTAAATAATATCATTTTTAGTGTATAGTTTGTCTGCTCTTTTCTTTTATGGGAGTCCTGCTTTTAGGGTTTCAAAGAAAACTGCAGGGATATTTATCCAAACCAAGTTCAGTCATAGAAGTTGGTTGTATTATTATTATTATTATTATTATTATTATTATATTATTATTATTATTATTATTATTTTTATTTATTTATTTATTTATTTATTTATTTATTTTTTTTTGATGCTGACCCAATTAATTTCAAACATATTCACTGATGAGGTCTGGACTCTGCGGTGATCAGTCCACTGTTCTGAGAAAGCTGCAGCTTCTCTGTTTGATTTGCTAATCTTATTTCTTTATCAGGTGTTGCACAGTTAACCTTTCCATTCTTTTTTCAAGTGGATTATCTTATTTTTTTTCCTCAGAAATATCTCTTGAAAAATGAGTACCTTGTGCTTAATTGCAGTTTTGACTGGGAATTAAATAAATGAAGAGTAGACTTTTGCACAGTCCTGCATAGGGAGTGAGATTTTTATTTTTTTCCCTTCTTTTGTCATCTAATCTCATTCAGTGTTTGGCTAACCACCACTCTTCCTTCTGTGCTCTGTTGGTCACCCAGTTGATGGAGTGCATCATTGGGGAAGAAGATACTCAAGCTCCTGGCTTCGCTGGGGCCTAATGTGGAGGTCCAGGGAATCTTAAGGTGCCAGTCATGGCTTGAGAGTGCGGTGCTGTGTGCTGTGACAGTTTGAAGTGCTCTTTGTGTGTTTCTGAGTAAAGATTGTGCTGATTCTTCATCTTTTGTTACTTTCGCATGGTTTTTGGTTTGCAGTGCTGACTGGAGTGACTTAATTTTTGGGGTGTGTGTTTGGGGTGGGGGTGGGGGTGGGGTTCAAGGTGCTATTGGATGTTTTGCACATGTCCTCCACCCACGCACCCTTTCCTGTGCTCAACAGAGGTGTGTGAGTACAGAGTGTCTCTTTCACTTAAGCCCATACAGAAGAGTCTTCTGTATGCTATTTCTCTTTAAAAAAAGAAAAAAAGTACTAGGTCTAATTTAATATTCCCATGCTGTTCTGTCTTAAATATAAGGTGCCAAATGGTTCTTCAGAGCAATTTAACAATACTACTCCTTGTTCCGTAAAGAACTCAATTGATAGTTCTTCTTTTTTGTAAGTGAGATGTGAGCATGAAGAACCTTTTATATTTTTAATTTTTAATTTTTTTGTGTAAAGAACCTATGCATAACAAAAGCCCTATACCAGTGGTTCTCAAACCGATCCTTGGGGACCAGCAGATGGGAAGCTGGACAAAATTATTTCATCATTATCTTGATGTACAATATGCTAAGTGTAGCAAGGATATAGTCTACTTAAAGACTTAACTTCAACACTGATCAATTGCTTTGTTTGTTAAAAAAAATAATTGGTGTTTAACTTGTGTTAGTGCAGTACGTAAAATGTTGAATAATCATTGTTTTTGATAGCAGTGTTTAAATGTGGCACTAATAGTGTATTGTGCCGGTGTTCAAATATTGTTATGGGTATCATGAAAATGTTAGTGTATCGTGATGTATTTTACCCATATTGCCCACCCCTACAGACAGTCCATATTTTTGCTCTATCTCTGTGATATTTTGATGATGCATAAAAGTGGACCATCTGAAGGTGGAGGAGGGTTGGGTGGCCTTGAGGACTGGTTGGTGAACCAGTGCTCTTCATCAATGAAAGGTTTTTCATAGAATCATGTTTCTACACAAGAACCTTTTTAGGAACATTTAAATAAATAAATATTTATTTATTTATTATGTACTTCGCTTAATATCTTTGTCATACATCATTGTCGGTCTCTCTCTCAGACATTGGAAGAGTCTAATTATTTATTCTGTTTATTTAATCAGAAGAGTATGTTTTCTGAACATTTTCTTTTATAGTTGGCCATATTCACAAAGACTGGAAGGAGTCATTAGAGTGAACCAAGACATGTTTTTCAGTTCTTGCTGCCTGAACAGGCGTCCCCGGTGACATTTCTTGTCATCTCTCTTGGGGAGTCATTCTGTTTGTTTCCAGCTGCTACATACTGAAATCTTGGACCCCTCCCTCAACTGTGCCCATTCTGTGGAGGAAGTGAGTGTGTGGGGCTCTGTGCTGTATTGTGTACACCCCACCACCACTAAATGCACACAGACACATGTGCATACAGTTTCTGTCTAGAGGAAGGGACTCGTGGGGGTATAGTCAGACCTGGTTAATAATAGCACACTGCTGTGTGTGAGTGAGTGTGTATGATGGAGGATAAATGAAGCTGTCCTCTGTCTCCACTCTTAATTACCTGTCTTGTAGGGATAAATTAAAAGCTCACCAGTGAATATTACTTTCCCTGGTTGAAAGACGTTTAATATAAACATGTTAGTACTGGTGACTAGCACAGGCTTGCAGTGTTTCGAGCTTACTGTTCGCGACTGTAGTGCATGCATGCGTGAGGTTTGTGTGTGTGTGTGTGTGTGTGTGAGAGAGAGAGAGAGAGAGAGAGAGACTTCTAGCCTTCTCTGAGCGAGTGAAAAGTAGCAGCTGCTAAAACACTTGTGGGTGTTGGGGGTGAGAAGCTGCCAGAAGCGTCTCTCTCTTGCCAAGCGCTCAGTCCAGCTTGCAGCTCTTCAGACTGTTGAGTTTACACAGCACATACGTTGCCGTTATGGAGGGGGGGTTTCTGCCCCCTAAACCTGCACAACAAGCTTCTCTTCCTGTGTTTTTCTGACCTACTGTTTGAGGCTTGGGTTAAATGTTTATTTTTTTTGGCCTACTCCCAGTGTTTATGCTTTCTCTGTCTCACTGGTTCAGTAAGCACCAGAGGGACTAGAAATGTCATAATGATGTAAGCATTACAGGCATTGTCTTTATTTAATAATAATATTAATAATATTAATAATGTGAACTGTGGTCATTTTACATCAGATAACAATTACATACCAATGGATTGAGGTGTATAAATGGATTGATGCACCTTAATACATTGATTTGAAAGTGGTGATTCAACTAAACAGGTTTTGAAATGTTTATCTAGAAGTGTGTACTTTCCACATGTACAAATCCTAATAATGCTTGTATTGATGGTCTATTTCTCTATATATAAACAACTAATTTTATCTCTAGTCTGAATCATGCTAAAATTGAGCTGTGATCATTATGACTATAATGAAGTAATTATAATAATAATGAAGTAATGCCTAAATAAGACTGAGATTGCTAATGGGGTTGGGAAATGGCTGCTAATTGATCATTTAATCCAAGTCTGAAGAACGCTGGAGTCTTGTGTAGTCTTTTGAGTGTGTATGAGTGTGTTACAAGTCTGTATGGGTGCTTACTTTTGTCTATCTGTCCACAGACTGGTCCCGCAGTATGTCTACCCCCAGGCCTTCATCCAGCCCAGCCTTGTGCTCCCCTCTCAGGTGGCCTCCTCTGTTAGCTCTCCTTACCTGGACTACAGCGCAGCCTACGCCCAGTATGCCTCAGCAGCCTTCGAGCACTACCCTTACGCCTCTTCTCCTGGCTTTGTGGGGTATGGCTACACCGCTGCCACACCCACTGGGGGTCCCACAGCCCCTACCCCAGCCCAGACCCTGGCTAACGCAGCCACCGCCACCCCTGCCTTCATCCAGTATCCTCCACAGCAGCACCTGCAGCCTGAGCGGATGCAGTGAGCGATCGAGCCACGTTTGGACGTAACGCTCCACGTGGGCCCTGAGAAACCTGAGGATAGACTATTGCACTGTCATGTCAGGATTTTTTGCTCCAGCCTTGGAGCCCGGAAAACAGTGAAACTGTGCAGTGGCTTCAAAGGGCTTCCAGAAGCACTGATGCCATTATTTCTGTTTTCTCAATTTCCTTCAAAATTATTAATATTATTGTTATTGTTACTATTATTCATGTTACCATAAGCTTTATTATATTAGTGTTTCTCTTTGTTAGTACCTGTATTTAATGTGCTCACATTGTTCAGATCAATCAAAGTAAGGTGCCTGGTTGTGGAGTAGTGGATGTAGAGTAGGAGAGGGAGCGAAAGACTGTATAACGTGAACACTCAGTGGTGACTCTCTAGAAGGTTTAATGGGGTATTGCTGCTTAAGATACCTTGGGAGAGGGTTTTTAGAAGATAGGAAGTCTGAGCTTATGAATAGATGACTATAAAATCAGGGGAAAGGTAAAGGAAGGACAAGAAAAGCACCCAATATGCATCTTAAGACCGAAGGTTCTTCCTCATTAGAGTTTAAAAAGGACAAATGGAGAACTGCGACTGAAGGTTCTTAAAAGCTCCTAGGACTACCTTTTTATAATTATCGAGGCCTTAAAGCTAGAATGTCCATTTAAATTTAGATCATTTTAACATTTGTATACAGGGTTAACTGTGAACAAGCTACAAATTGCTTCCAAAAAAAACCCAGTCTGCAGTCCTCAGGCCTGTTTAAGTCCAAGGACTAGGTATATGGTATTTTAGAGTAAGGGTGCTAATTGAAGATCAGGTCTTTGATCATGTTTAAGTCCATGTTGATGGATGTGACTAAATGCCATAAAGCAAAACTGATCTAAAAACAGGCATCGTGTTCAGGAGATGCTGTACATGTAGCCCCTGGTGGAGATAATCATTATATGATGCAGTAAGCACAAGAGGGAGCAAGCATTGGAATTTAACAGGTATGGTAGCTGACACTGATACCTATGGTACATCAGTTTTGTGTAACTGTTAACTAAAATGATTGTTGAATGTCTTCTGCTTTAAATAGACATTCATTATGTATAGCATTTTCAAAATGTTGCCACAATTGAGTGCATTTTGCAGTATTTATGTTGGTATTTAAGTGATCTGTGGTACTATTGCTTTGTTTTACAGACTTGTGTCTCTGTGTAGGCAACAATGTTTTAGGCTCCTGGTCACTCAAAGAGAATGTGTAAATAGTTGATTTATCATTTACACCTCCCTTTTTTATTTGAATAATTCTCACAGGCTATTAATCTACATGTGCACCTAAGATTTTGGGGGGGGGGAGTTACACTATTGAGTCGCAGCTTGCACCTGCTGGCACATAATTGCTCTATGAAGCATTTTTATGTCACGTCATTTCAATATCTGCAATGAAAGCCATACCAAGGAAAATCTTGGGGTAAAATAAAGACTTTATACTAAAATTTAAGAGTGCAGTCAATTATTTTTGAATTTCTGTGTCTTTCCAACTCTTCTAGAGTGTGAAGCCATCCTTTGCAGGCAGGGATTTGCAAATACGCTTACAGCAAGTACATGCTGGGGGGGAAAACAAGTATTGAGACTCTTCATTTTTGTTATACTTCCAGTGCGCATATCCACTTCAAGCTTACAATGTGTTTTGGCTTTTCTTTTGACAGACACCACAACAATGTTAATATTTTGTTGCAAAGATTTTGTTGGCAGTTACACCTTTTGAGAAGCCTATGTTAAAAAGCTCCTCAAGGTTATGAGGGTCCCTTTTTTTAGACTGTTGGCAATTTCAAAATCCTCAATACATACTGAATGGGATTGTAATCAGGAGATTGGTGAGGCCATGTAAGCGCTTTCACCTTTTCTTTTTAAACTTTCACCTTGACCTAGAAACAGCTCTAGAGTTATCATTGTCTTGTTTAAACATCCATTTTCTTTTACTTGGCCAATAAAATAAAATTCTCTAATGTGTCCCAGTACATTTGCTCTGCTCAGGGTCACTTCTCAGTGATGCATATAAGCAGCCCCATACCATGATGCTCCCACCTCCATACTCCGCACTGCGTATATGGTGTTCTCAGGATCATATTTGCAACCTTTCCCCAAACAGCTAAATCACTGCCAAAGTGTTACATTTTTATTTCATCTTACCAGAATGTTTTCATAAAATTCTAATTTGTCTAAATGCTCATGTGCAAATTTTAGACATACATTTTATTTATTTTTAAGCAGAGGAGTTTTGTCTGGAGTTTAGGAAAGGATGTGACTGCTTGTTATGGCTTGTTCTCTGTGTATCTATTCTTCCTGCTGCTTTCAGTTCATCCAGAAACTCTTTTTAAGTGACTGCTGGCTTCTCTCTTACCTTTTTATCATTAGTCTGAGATGGCAGGGATGATCAATTGCGATTCCATAAAATTTCCTCTTGCATATTATTGAGCTAATTGTACTAACAGGAATGTTTTAAGATCTTTCCTAGGGCTCTGTAGGTTTTTCCATGCAAGTCTTTAATAATGTCCCTGAGAACTTTAGGAAGCACCTTCACAATTAGTGCTTCTTATATGAAGCCTTTGCATAGTGTCTGAAATACTGAATTCAGATCCTCAACCGATTTTTATGAACACAATTCTATTCATAATTATTAGTACAAAGTCTAAAGCCATGTGTGTAAACTTGGAGTGGATATTTGCACTTGAGGTATATTAAAATTACAAAAAAAATATAGGTGTCTGAATACTTGTTTCCTCTCACTGTAAATGCTTGATTTCACTTTTCTTCTTTGTCTTTGACTGTTGGTTTTTGCCCTCTGTCAGAACTGTGAAGTGTAAGTGTTGTCAGAACTGTGAAGTTTAGAAAGGAAGCACCCCCCTCTTCCTTAGATGACTTAGAAAGGTTAGCAACAGTGTTGTTTTGGGGTTTTTTTATTCCTGATTGTGACTAATGTGATGAAGAATGAAGATAAACTGGTTTAATCAGATTGCTTGTGTTGTAAACAGTCTTCATATTTCCATTTCACAAATAACCAGCACAAAAGCAACGCATGAGCACCATATACATATTGGTCATTTAACAGTATTTAATGACGCACAGATAAGAAGTGGCCAGGCTTGAGTGTGCCCATGTGCAGTAGAGACTGTGTTGCCATGCATATGACTTCCTCATATCAGCTTGCTCCAAGTGTATGTGACGTTTGGTTAGGGTCACGATGAAGGGGGCCCGCTGGTTATCAGCCTTTAACACAAGCACGTGCTGTTCCCTGCCAGGACACAAGCACTGTTGCTAGGGAGCACTGCCATTGCCAGGCCCTGAGAGGGAGGGGGCAGGGTGGCTTGTGTAAACAGCAGATGAATATTTTCATAGTCATTGTTATTTGCCAGTCACTGCTAGAATGCCAAGAAACATTTACGCGCTCCAGATCAGGCAAGTTTCAAAGCAGCTTCTGACTGACCAGGGCACTTCGTATTTTTGACCATGCTAAATCCAAACAACTCCATAAATGTTGATCATTAGGCTTAAGTGACTTTAGGCCTAAATGTGTTGAACTGCTACTGGCCACTTTGATCTCATTGTAAACGCATCTCTCATGGTGATCTTGAGGTGGTTGTGTGGTTGGCTGGCTCACAGGAGATAAATGAGAGAGTAGCAATGTTTGTGGAGCCGCTCTGGTGTAATGGAGTCACTGTGCTAGCTTAAATAAACAGTGGCTCGCTCAGCGTGCATGCTGTTTGTGCTCTCTGCAAGTTATGGCTGTTTATGCGACTATGGAACGAACATGCTGATCTCTTTTGTCACAGTGTTAACAGTAAGATGGGTCTCCTGCGTGCATCTACAGAGCAGATTGTAGCAGCACTGCCGTGGGGCATGCATATTGTGTTCTTCCGTTCATACTGCTCTTTGAGCACTGCCAACCTCAAATGCATTACTAGTGCATATTGTTTCCAACACAGTATGACATTCTGCTATCTATAAAAATGGATGAAATGCAGACAAAAACAGGCTTCAAAATAGCTGCTACACCTGTTTTTAGCTATACATTCATTTTTATAGATAACAGTAAGTCATACAGTGTCAGAAATCACTTTAGGAAGTCTATTTGAGAGTTTCTTAAAACTCAGCATGGCTTGAGGCAAGTGTGATGTTTCAGATGTGCAGTGCACAATGCAAACTGCTGATCATTACTTCTATTACTTGTTAGCTGCATTAGCAATAAAGCTCCTGGGCAAAACTAAAGAGGCAAACTTTGGACAACAAGCATGTTTTGATTGATTGAGTACATTTGGGGTCAGAGCAAAAGAAATTTAATTTTGTGTTGAATGTCTGCATCTCCGATCCAGTTCTCTATGTCTTACTCCCAGTTTCAGAAAAGATGGTATTGTACAGGTACACCTCAGTTCATCAAAGTATAAACAATGTAAATGTACCCAATCTAAATGTAAAGGTACAACATGGTCCAACTATGCACCTTAAGTGAGGTTTAAAGGTACACTATATTTTCTTTCCTTGGGGAAAGGGGCATATTTGTACCTCTTCATGACCCTAACATTTAAAAAAATAAATAAATTAATAAAAAGCCGGGAGTCGGTGTATGGAGCCAAAGTTAACTTACAACTCGCTCCAAAACAGTAACTTTACAGGAGAAGGAAAAAACTAACTTTACCTTTAATGCAAGTCAATAGAACCAGACGTTTTTCCATGTCATTTTGGGCTGTTTCTTTTGGCCCAATCATCATGAAATTTACACACCATGTAAAGGGCAATAGGCATGTCAAACACTAACAAATGGCAAAAATGGAGATGCGAGGTTTTGTTTCGACAGCAGCGAAATATATAACTGAAACTGAATATGGTACAGCTATGTTCCCTAACTAAAGGTACTGAAGACATGCCCTTGAGGGTACCTCCCAGTGACAGTTTAGTACCTTTTTTCTGAGAGTGTACTCTCTTTCCATCTTGCTATTGATGTTTATTTTATTGCTCTCTTCCTTTTTCTTTTCTACACTGTGTCCTTTTCTATACTTCTCATGTGCTTGTTCTCTTTCCGTGTTGTCCTTGTCAGAGATTTACAATAGGACAAGTGTGAGGGGAGAGGTGAGTGTCTGCTTGATAAACGAGGTCATACTACCTTTGAGGAGAGGTTTATGCT